CGCTGAACTGCAGAGAACAGTCAGCTGAAGTGGCCTGCAGACCTGCACCCTAACCACTGCGCCACCTCGGCTCAGTGACAGACAGAGCCTGGACTGCTTTTGACAGACAAGACTGATAGACGTCAAAATAATCCTCTTTGGCATGCTACGCCCAGAGTAACTTCGAGGGGAAAGTGTTCTTGTGCTTACCTGCTGCGTCTTCCTTTAGCTTGATTGTGAAGAATACAGATCCTTCCAAAATGGTTTAAAATATAAATCACAATTTAATCATGAAAAGTTGCCAACAGGTGATGCTCGCACACCCTTTTCAACCTGTTATATATTCCAGCAAAGTTAAAACAGCATCTCCCTTTGCCTCCTGTAAACATGACATTCATCTATCTGGTAGAAGGACCAAATGCCCTTGACAAAGCTGAACTTAAAATGATATGCCTGGACTTTTTCTTTCTTAAGAAAGGCATTTTCTTTTTCAGGATGAAATACTGCTTGGTGCAATATCATATCTCGAATGGTATGATTGTTGCGTGTTTTAAATTATGCATTGTTTTGTGTTGTTGTTAATTTGTCTGTATCCCCCTTCCCTGGTTTGAGTTGTGAGCCGCCCTGAGTCCCCCTTCGGGGGGGGAAAAGGGCGGCATACAAATGAAATAAACATTCAACATTCCCACAGCAAACACTGGGAGCCACAAAACCTGGGTGGGTGTGGCCAACTCAACGTCACTCCCACCCAGTCACATGACACCCCCCCATTCCCCAATTGCTGATCCCCGTTCCCCTCCTTCCTGAGCCAATACACAGGGGACTGCAGCTGGCGCTGAGCTGCCAGCAAAGGACGCAGAATCGCATAAAGAAGCTGGTCGCAGGCAGTGCGGAGAAAATGCTAGGGGGGCTTCAGCCACATGGCTCTGCGGAGAGGCTCATGCCTTCTCAGAGCGGAGAGCTGATCGTGCGACGGGGTTAGCAGGGAGCCACAGGAAGGGGTCAAAGAGCCTCATGCGGCTCTTGGGCCGCAGGTTGCCAACACCTGGCCTAGCTAAACCAATCTTTATAGCCTTCCTAAATAAGCTTTTGACTCTCCCCATGTTCATTGTGAAGAGCCTGGTTGAAAAGAGATAATCTGAGGATGTTCATAACCAAGCCCTGATTCTGCTTCCATCTGTCCTTTCCTTTCTTTTTCTTTTTCCTTTTTCTTCTTTTCTCAGAGCATTTATCCTAAAGTTTATGGAATGTGGGGAGCCAACGTCTTTGAGGAGAAATATTTTTCATCTCCTCATGCAAACATTCATGTACATAATTTTGAACTAGAGCCTATAAAGTGACAATTTTCAAATTGATTGACTTGGTTGGCAGCTCCATATTGTTTATAATAATCTAATACAGTTTCTGCATATTTTTGGATCTGTGTTTTTAAAATGCCCTTGCTCTTTTTTTCTTTTTTTGTTTCAGGATTATGGCATGTGGGAACGTGGTGACAAGACAAACCAGGGCATTCCTGAGTTGAATGCAAGCTCTGTTGGAATGGCAAAAGTAGGAATGTTTGTTTTTTATAAACAAATCAGAAATAATTATAACCACCTGTAAATTGATTGAAACTTAGAGACCTATACCTATAGATTTAACTTAAAGCTTATTTTTGAGTATTCACCTGTTTATTTCTAATCTTGAAATCAAAAAGTACTGTAGTAACTGATAGATTTGTTACTGATTTGATAAGGATCTTGATTAATTTTCTGTATGTGAAAATAAAATATGTCCAAACAAACCAGTGGATAAGAACAACTGAGGTTTTGGGGATAGGGAAATCAACAAACTGGATTCTGCCCATCTTTAGCTGCAGGATCAAAGTCCCAAGATGAATAGATGTATTACTAACCATGGATCCTTTTGCAACTGACCAAAGGGATTGTAATTCATATTTTTGACCAGGTACAATTTAATGATGATTTCGTGCTAATATACCTCAATATAAACTGGCTTGTTTTTATTAAAACTCTCTTTTCACTATATGGTAGTACATATCAACCAGGGATAGTATAAAGATACTAAATTGAATCACCTTGAAGAAGACAAGATCATTTCTAGATCCACCTGTTTTTATGAAATTTTATGAATATATACTTAAAATTAAGTATTGGAAAACATTTAATATAATAAAGCATTAAAAATTGGTTTCACAGTGCACAGGACTGTGGATGAAGTCTTTCCTTTGTGTTAATACAGCTCAGTTGATTGGAAGACTTGTGCAACTGTTTTGAAAATTGGTTCTGATGGTCATTATTCTGATTGCATTAGTGATTTGAAAATAAGTGCTTTAAACCCATGCCTGCTTGTTGCAAAATATTTCTTTTGGAATGCTAAGCACTGCCTTAATACTGGATTATTTTTAATAGTTTAAGCATAAACTATTTCATATCAGGTTGTACCCATATGCTCACTCACATGGGAGAAATTCATCCAAATTGAAATTACCTTTACATAAATTTATACAGAGATACTCTTTGGAGGAAGGGGTACCTTTGAGTCAGTTGTGAGTCCTGACAACTGCCTGGACCAGTCTCTAAAGTTTTCTTGGTAAGGTTCTTCAAAAATGCTTTGCCATTCAGAAATGCTTTGCTTTGCATCACTGAAGGTTTTCAAAAAGAGACTAGACAGCCATTTCTCTGAAATTATATAGGGTCTCCTGCTCGAGGAGGGAGTTGGATTAGAAGACCTCCGAGATCCCTTTCAGTTCTATTATTTTCTGTTCTATGTTCATTGCTTCTTTTCTAAAACTCAGAGAGAAGGAATGACCCAAAGCTATCTAGCTTTGTACCTAAGGTGGGACTGGAACTCACACTCTCCCAGTTTCTAGCCTATTGCCTTAACCACTACACCAAGCAGGCTCAGGGATACAGGCATATGAGTTATATTTCTTTTACTAGTAATGAGAGTTGACAAATGTTTTTCTGAAGGCTGCTTTGGAAGCAATTGATGAGCTGGACCTGTTTGGAGCTGGAGGAGGACATAAGTCAGTTATTCATGTGCTCCCAGACGAAGTTGAACATTGTCAGGTAAATATGAGTCTTTTTCATTGGGATATCCAAGAAACTGTAACAAAGTCCATCTAAAGCTCTTAACCAAACAATTTATGTGAAGTCAGGGGATAGGGGGATGGAGGAGAGAAAGAATTTTCTTTCATGAATTCTGAAAAGTTTATATTCTCCAATTCACCTTCCATGCTTGAAAGCAGCATCTGGTACATGACTTGAAGGATTAATTATAATCAGTTTTATATAATCTGTCTCCCAGATCTATTGCCAGTTTCTCTTTTAAAAGAGCTGATTTTAACAAACTCAAGAGAGACAGCTTGGGAAAAATCCTAAAGGGGAAAACAACTCAAGAAGCTTGGGAAATTCTGAAAAATATTATCATAAAAGCCCAATCCAGCACAATACCATTGAAAAAGAAAAACAAGAAATCCAAGCAGAGACCAGCATGGTTGCACAAAGATCTCTCTGATAAACTGAAGGACAAAAAGAATAAGTACAAAAAATGGAAAGAAAGACACATAACTAAGGCAGAATATCAAAGACTGATATTCAAAGAAGACTCAAAATGAACAAAGACTTGCAACAAAAGTCAAAGATAACAAAAAAGTTTCTTTCAACATATAAATAACAAGAAAAAATTCAAGGCAACAGTTGATCCACTAAAGAAAGAAGATGGCAAAGAAACAACAGATAGTAGAGAGTAAGCAGAGGTGCTTAGCTCTTTCTTTACATCAGTCTTCACACAAAAGGAAACTATAACCCAATTTACCCAAAACATAATTGTAAAAGACAGACTAGAAATTAAAATTAAAATAAGCGGAGTAGTATCCAACGTCGCGACAATATGGATGTGCGGTCTCGATGCTCTGAGACCGCAGCCGATACTTTTGCCGCTGGGTGGTCCGGTCGGACCTAAACCATCCCGCAGAGATGGTGAACGGGAAGAATATGTCTTGCTGATTTCAGAGACATCGCAAAGTCCCTGATCGATGCAAGAGAAGTTCTTCAAGACGGCGACAAAAAATCCAGCCAAGGCTGATGGAAGTCGGGGCGGCTCCAAAACAGAAGACTACGGAAAGAGAAAGTGTTTCCAGCTGGTGAGGAATTTTTACCGTTTTAAAAGGGACTGCCTATAAAAAACTTAAAATTAATTTAAATTGGAGAACAGAAGAAATAAGCGGCGGAATTAAGCTTTGAATGATTTTGGACAGTGGGTTATCTTACTTTTTAAATGCTATGCTCATGGATGGAATTTAAAAAGTAAGATAACCCACTGTCCAAAATCATTCAAAGCTTAATTCCGCCGCTTATTTCTTCTGTTCTCCAATTTAAATTAATTTTAAGTTTTTTATAGGCAGTCTCTTTTAAAACGGTAAAAATTCCTCACCAGCTGGAAACACTTTCTCTTTCTGTATCCTTCCATTTTGGAGCCGCCCTGACTTCATCAACCTTGC